ACCTGTTTTGTAAAGAATTTAATCAACAGGGTAGAGATCAAAATAACCTCAGTAAACTGGAATACTCCCTGAACCAAGAAATTGCTGGGAACCGGCTATGTGTCTGACAGAGTCCACAGAGCCTGGAGGTCTTAAGTCAGAGACTCGACCTCCCCCACAATCTCAAGGAATTAGGCTTGCATTGTGTTTGTGCAGTTTGGGGCTAAGTGTGAGCAATGTACCTTGAAATACCTGAGTGTACCTGGGTGTGCCTGGGTGTGCCTTTTATCCCGAAGGCAAACTAATTCTATACAGCATTGCTGTGGCCCTGGGCATTATATCAAGAAGATCCTATTTGCTGTAAGGCATAAAAGGCATGTGATAAAGCCTATCAGGGCTGATTCCGAAGACTCTGTCGCAGGGGTGTTTGGACGCCGGCCGGCTAATAAACGACTTTTATTTGGACTTCAATTCTCTAGTGGTCTTTCTTTGACTCTGTTGCGCCACAACACTGTGGTCCAAAAAGGGGTTCACCAATGAGTAACCTCACAGCATGATCTGATCATAAATTCCTAAAAGGATAGGTCATGTTGGGTAGTCATGCCCCAGGCATTTAACCTCTGTAATGAAAGGTTTATCTTTGCCTTAAGCAAGCCCTGCCCATTGTTTTTGTGCATCTACATCAACACACTTTTGAAATAAGTAACCACCCTCAAGAGAGCACATAATCTTATTAACTATCCCATAATCCAATGCCCACCTTCATGTAATCTTCCTTAGTTACGTCCTTAATTTCAAATGCATAAAAGAAACTGCAAAACTGTCATTCTTGGGAACATTTGAGATCTTGCTTTCTGGCAATTGTCATTAGTTTTGGCTCAAACCCCTAAAAATTATCCACAGATTTGAACATTTCTTACATCAACAATGCCAATAAATGGAATATATGTAATAAATGGAATATAAGTAATAGTCATACTGCTCTGGTTAATATAGAAGACCCCATAAGAAACAAAAGAGAGCCCTGGCCAGTTTGGCTCAGCCATTAGATCGTCGGCCTGTGGTCCAGAGAGACCCGGGTTCAATTCCCACTAAGGGGAGGTACCTCAGTTGCAGTTTATCCCCGGCCCTGGTTGGTTGTGAGGGTGGCAGCCACTTGATGTGTCCCTTTCACATAGATGTTTCTCTCTCTCTCTCTCCCTCCCACTCTACCCGAACAAAAAATGGAAAAATGTCCTCAGGTGAGAATTAAAAAAAAAAAAGGAACAAAAGAGAGAGAAAGTTAGATAACTGACACTAGTTATCAAGGATCACCACCACTGCTATTTTTTTTTTTCCTTTTTCATTAGTGTGTACAAATACCTTTCTTTCTAGCTCCCTGCACTGCATTCTGGAATTATAAGGAGTTATTTCTAGTCACTGAATTTGCCTCCAATATCTGCTTAGTATTTTAATTTCTCTTAATATTATCAGGGTGATATGTTTCTCACATGTCACTTTTATTACATAAATATGCAATTTAATATATTGTTTATATCAGCTTCTAACATGCCCTATGCATTTGTCATAGAAGGGATTCAAGACGAGCCTCCCAAAATGCGCCATTATGACATGTGGATCATTCTAAGTTGAAGGCAACCAAGATCCTGCAGACTCAAGAAAAATCACTCTCTTTTAGCTATCTAAAAGAATTTATATAGCCCAGCTGATCGACCCATGCACCAAGAGGTCACTGGTTCAATTCCCGGTCAGGGCACATGCCCAGGTTGTGGGCCCAATTCCTAGCAGGGGGCATGCAGGAGGCGGCCAATTGAGCTTCTCTCTCATTGATGTTTCTCTCTCTCCCTCTCCCTTCCTCTCCCTCTAAAATCAATAATAAAAATAATAATAATAAAAAATAAGAAAAGAATTTATATAGGGTGCCTGATCCATAAAGCAAGATAACTTATTTAAAAAAATTTTTTTTTCCACTTTATTGATTTTAGAGGGAGAGGGAGAGGGAGAGAGAAATAGAAACATTGATGAGAGAGAGCATGGTTCAGCCACTTCCAGCATGCCCCCCACTGGGGATTGGGCCCACAACCTGGGCATGTGCCCTGCCTGGGAATTAAACCAGTGACCTGTTGGTGCGTGGTTGATGCTCAACCACTGAGCCACACTGACGAAACAAGATAACTTTTTTTGTTTTAATTTTATTTTTGTTACAGATGTTTCTCCTTTTTTACCCCATTGACACCCTCCTCTCCATCCCCCACTGCCCCGTCCCCGGCTTTGTTGTCCAAGTCCATTGGTTATGCAAAAATGCACATAAGTTCTATGGTTTATCTCTTCCCACCCCCCACCACCCCCTCTTCTGAGGGTTGTCTGTCTGTACCCTGCTTCCGTGTTTCTGGGTCTACTCTATTCTCAGACTGTTATATTCATTATATTCCATATATAAGTGAGATCATGTGGTATTTGTCTTTTTCTGCTTGGCTTGTTTCACTTAGGATATACTTTCCAGGTCCCTCCATGTCGTCTCAAAGAATAAGAGATCTTTCTTTCTTACAGCTGCATAGTACTCCATTGTGTATATGTACCACCACTTTTTTATCCATTCGTCTACTGATGGACACTTGGGCTGTATCCAGATCTTAGCTATTGTAAACAGTGCTGCTATGAACATAAGGGTACACATATTCTTTCTGATTGGTGTTTCAGGATTCGTAGGGTATATTCCTAGAAGCGGGATGACTGGGTCAAATGGAAGTTCAATATTTAAATTTTTTTTTTTTTTTTTTTTTTATCCTCACCCGAGGACGTTTTTCCATTTTTTGTTCAGCTAGAGCGGGAGGGAGAGAGATGAAGAGAGAGAGAGAGAGAAACATCGATGTGAAGGGACACATCGAGTGGCTGCCACCCGCACGACCAACCAGGGCCGGGGACAAACTGCAACCGAGGTACGTGCCCTTAGCGGGAACCGAACTCGAGTCTCTCAGGACCGCAGGCTGACGCTCCAACCGCTGAGCCAAACCGGCCAGGGCTCAATTTTTAATTTTTTGAGGTAGCACCATATTGTTTTCCATAGCGGCTGCACCAGTCTGCATTCCCACCAGCAGTGCACTAGAGTCCCCTTTTCTCCACACCCTCGCTAACACTTGTTGTTTGATGATTTGTTGATGGCGGCCATTCTGACAGGTGTGAGGTGATACCTCATTGTTGTTTTAATTTGCATCTCTCTGATGATTAGTGATGTTGAGCATTTCTTCATATGTCTCTTGGCCATTTGTATGTCCTGTTGGGAGAGGTGTCTATTCAGCTGTTCTGCCCATTTTTTAATTGGGTTCTTTGTCTTCCTTTTGTTGAGTCAAACAAGATAATTTTTATCTGAATACCCTATCTGTATGGCAGCACAAATATCTAAGTTACTAAACATTTGCTCTTCTAATCATCCTGTGAATTACTCTCTTCCCTTTTGAAACCCCAGGCCACTCTCTCCTCTCTTTGCTCACAATGGCATACATGTAATCTTCAAGTGCCTGCCTTGTTTTGAGGTCTCACAGTCTTTATGGGGCCTCCAACTGTTAGCAATTAAACTAGTCTTTCTCTTTTTAATGCTTTATATCAATTTGTGTTTTAGACCAGCCAAAGAACCTAGAAGGGTAGAGGAAAAAATTTTCCTCCCCAATAACATTATTTTCTAAATTTGAAATGTACAGCTGTACAGCTTAGTTTATGCTATTATGAGAAATAATACTTACAAGTACTTTCTAAAAATAGAAAGCACAATATAAAAGTTATCCCTAGTTATATTGTTTATGTAGAAACTATTCTTGAATAAGCAATCTCTCTAAATTTTAATTTTTTAAAAAGTGTAAAATGTAGACAAAAAATGTTGTTTTTTTCTGGAAATTAAATACACGGAAAACCTTTAGCAGAGTGCCAGGTATATAGTAATTGCCCAACAAAAGTTCACTATTTAGAGTTTATTTTAAAATTTAAATATTAATATTCGTATAAATATTTAAATAACAAATTGAGAATAATACTTAAGAAAATCACCCAAGTACCAAATAACTGCTTTCTTAATTTTTTTTTTGTGGGGGGGGGGGGTGTTATGAAATGTAATTTTTTTTAGTTATTTATTTTTGTTACAGATGTTTCTCCTTTTTCCCCCACTGATTCCCCCCCTCTCCCTCCCTCCCTGCCCTGTCCCCAGCTTCAATGTCCATGTCCATTGTTCATGCACACATGCATATAAGTTCTGTGGTTTATCTCTCCCCCCACCCCCTCTTCTGGGGATTGTCAGTCTGTACCCCGCTTCCACATCTCTGGGACTACCTCATTCCTCAGACTGTTATGTTCATTATATTCCACAAATAAGTGAGATCATATGATACTTGTCTTTCTCTGTTTGGCTTGTTTCACTTAGGATAATACTTTCCAGGTCCCTCCATGTCATCTCAAAGGATAAGAGATCTTTCTTTCTTACAGCTGCAAACTCAAAAGCTTCTGCACAGCAAAAGAAACAACCACCAAAATGGAAAGGCAACCCACTCTATGGGAGAGCATAATTGCCAATGATATATCAGTTAAGGGGGTAATTTCCAAAATATATAGCGTGCTCACACAACTCAACAAAAGGAAGACAAAGAACCCAATTTAAAAAAGGGCAGAGCAGCCGAATAGACACCTCTCCAAACAGGACATACAAATGGCCAAGAGAAATATAAAGAAACGCTCCTCATCACTAATCATCAGAGAGATGCAAATTAAAACAATGAGGTATCACCTCACACCTGTCAGAATGGCCGCCATCAACAAATCATCAAAGGAGTGTTGGCGAGGGTGTGGAGAAAAGGGGACTCTAGTGCACTGCTGGTGGGAATGCAGACTGCTGCAGCCACTATGGAAAACACTATGGTGTTACCTCAAAAAATTAAAAATTGGGCCCTGGCCAGTTTGGCTCATCTTATAAGTAATTGTGCTTCACTTCAAGTGGCCCCTTCCCAATCAATGTTAGGTCCAGATTCCTTTTCTTGTGTGTGTATGTGTGTCCTGGAAGTACTGCAATACAGGGTCGACGTGAGGAATGCACTGAGCACGCTCTTATTCTACTTCCTTGCTCCAAAAATCTGTTTAATACATTGTCCTCCGGTAGAGGACTTATCAGATATTACACTGATAAGAACAAATACTTCACTTGATCTTAGCCCCAAATGGATTGAGAAGCAATCCATTTTCTTTCGTTTTGCACTTAAACACTTTTAGTGCCACATGGTCCTCTGGCTCCAAATGACACTCTCCAAGAGCCATTTCAAAACTGTTCTTCCTTAGAGCCTGGCAAAAGGAGAGCATGTTACAAAAGGAGAGACTGCGGCCATACCAAGCCTGGGTCTACACTGATTGTCCTCTTTCAATCCTGAGAAGGTTGTCTTGGCAACCAGCTTTCCTAACTTGCTCTATTTCTTCCTCTTAAAGCCTTTGAAGTGAGTCCCTCCTCCATCCCAGCCTTTGAAGTTATTCTGAATAGAATACTAAAGATTATCTATTAACTGCCCTAGGAGATTTCTGAATACCCTAGAAAAACCTAGGGCTTTTCTCAAGCCACAGTCACAGCCATAGGCACATGGTTTCATGTGATTACAGCCCAACCTGCTACTGTGACTAACTAACCAATCAACCAATATTTCTTGAACATTTTTTATATTCTGGGCTCTGACCACCATAGTTACAATCTAGTGTTGTCTAATCCTCTATAACTGCCCTAACCGATATACAAGCTATGGCCACACATGCCAATCGAGCATTTGATATGGCTGGTCCAAATGAGGTGTGCTGTAAGTGTAAAATGTACATCAAATTTTGAGGTCTTGGTACCAAAAAAATGTAAAATACCTCATTAATAAATGTTGATGATTACCTAGTTGAAATCATAATGTTTTGGATATACTGGATAAAGAAAAATAAATTACTAACGTTAATTTTACCAATTTCTTTTCAGTTTTTTTAAATGACTACTATAAAATTTAAAATTACATTTGGCTCACAATACATTTCTGTTGGAGAGTGCAACTCTAAACATATGCATTGAAATTATCCGTAAAACATGTTTAAATATAGATTGTAGGACCCACCCCATATCTGTGTATCAGATAGGCTGGGTAGTGAGGTTGGGGGGTAGGCAATAATAAATCTGACAAATCCAGTGACCTAAAGTGACCCCACAGGATTATCTGATCATAAATTCCTAACTGGCCAGGTCATGGTGAATAGTCAAACCCCAGGCATGTAACTTTTTAGTAAAAGGTTTATCTTTGCCTTAAGCAAGCTCTATCCATTGTTCTTGTGCATCTAGGTTAACACACCCTTGGAAGGCTCTTTTCAGACTCCTCTGAAGCTTAATCACTCTCTAGAAAGCACATAATCTTGTTGACTATCCTGTAATCCAATCCCTGCCTTGCCGCTTGCTCTCTCTCTCTCTCTCTCTCTCTCTCTCTCTCACCTTCATGCACTCTTTCTTTGTTCTTCCCTTAAATTCAAATGCATAAAAGAAACTGCAAAACTGTCATTCTCAGGAGCAGTTGAGATCTTGCTTCTGGCATTGTTGTCAGTTTGGCTCAAATAAACTTACAAAAATTCTTTATAGGTTTGGATGTTTCTTTTGTTTTGTTTTGTTTTCTTATTTTGGAAAAATAAAAAACAGGAAGAGAGGAAGGAAGGGAGGAAGGAAAAGAAAAAGAAGGAAGTGAGGGAGGAAGGGAAGGAAGGAAGGAAGGAAGAAAGGAAGGAAGGAAGGAAGGAAGGAAGGAAGGAAGGAAGGGAGGAAGGGAGGAAGGGAGGAAGGGAGGAAGGGAGGAAGGGAGGAAGGGAGGAAGGGAGGAAGGGAGGAAGGGAGGAAGGGAGGAAGGGAGGGAAGTAGGTTTGGATGTTTCTTAAGTCAATAGGGTCCAGGAATGAGAATTTTCAACAAATGTTCTAGGTGATTCTTATGCACATGTAACTTTAAAAATCATTGGTCTTTTACCCTTCATGGTTTTGCTCAGTGGTTAGAGTGCCTGCAGAGTGAAGGGTCTTGGGTGTGATTCCCAGTCAAAGACACGTACCTGGGTTGTAGATTTGATTCCTGGCCCTGGTCGGGGTCATGTGGGAGACAACCAATTGATGTGTCTCTCTCATGTAGATGTTTCTCTCTCTCCTTCCCTCCTTCCCTTCCACTCTACCAAAAAAAAAATCAACGGAAAAATATCCTTGGGTGAGGATTAACAGAAAAAAAAAATTTTTTTTTAATCTTTATTAAAAAAAAATGTATTACAGATGTTCCTCATTTTTCCCCCCATTAACCCCCTCCTCCACATTCCCACCCCCCTGCTGCCTTTTCCCACACTGTTGTCTGTGTCCATTGGTTATGCATATAAGTTCTTTGGTTTATTTCTTCCCACTCCCCAACCCCCTTCCCTTTCAGGTTTGTCAGTTGAGCAACCAATTTGTACTTCTTATTCCCTTCACCTTTTTCACCCATTCCCCCAACACCCCTCCCATCTGGCAAAAAACAAAATAGTCTCTGTATCTATGAGATTTTCTGTTCTTCCTGTTCATTTTGTTTGTAGATTCCATTGTCCATAGATATGTATTCATTGCGATTTTGTTTGTTCATATATTTTATCTTTTTCTTCAAAAAGACCCTTCATCATTTCATATAATAACGGTTTGGTGGTGATGAACTCCTTTAACTTTTTCTTGTCTGGGAAAGTCTTTATATGGCCATAGATTCTAAATGACAGCTTTGCAGGATAGAGTAATCTTGGTTGTAGGTTCTTGCTTTCCATCACTCTGAATATTTCTTGCCACTCCCTTCTGGCCTGAAAAGTTTTTTTTGAGAAATCAGCTGACAGTCTAATGGGAACTCCCTTGTAGGTAACTAACTGCTTTTCTCTTGCTGCTTTTAAGATTCTCTCTTTGTCTTAAACCTTTTGCATTTTGATGATGATGTGTCTTGGTGTGGGCCTCTTGGGGTTCATCTTGTTTGGGACTCTCTGTGCTTCCTGGACTTGTATGTCTGTTTCCTTCCCCAAGTTAGGGAAGTTTTATGCCATTATTGTTTCAAATAGGTTTTCGATTTCTTGCTCTCTCTTTCCCTTCTGGCACCCCCAAGATGCGAGTGTTGGCACGCTTGAAGTTGTCTCAGAGGTTCCTCACACTCTCCTAATTTTTTTGGATTCTGTTTTCTTTTTGCTGTTCTCATTGGGCGTTTTTTGCTTCCTTATATTCCAAATCAATGGTTTGCTTCTTGGCTTTACCTACTCTACTATTGAATCTGTGTAAATTATTCTTTATTTCAGTTAGTACCTCCTTGATTTCTGACTGGTCCTTTTTTATGCTCTTGAGGCTCTCGCTAAGTTCACTGAGGTTCTCACTAAGTTCATTGAGCAACCTTATAAGCAGTATTTTGAACTCAGAACCTGTTAGTTTGCTTAACTGCATTTCACTTAGTTCTTTTCCTGGGGTTTTGTTCTGTTCTTTCATTTGGGACTTGTTCCTTTGTCTCCTCATTATGGCTGCCTCCCTGTGTTTGTATCTGTGTATTACTTAATGAGAGATATGGGGCTAGCTGAGACCAGATGCTGCTTGTTTGAAAGAATTTAGCTAAACCTGAAGCAGGATCCAAGACAGGCCAATCCTATGGTTAAGCAACTGGCAACAGTTTGGGTGGGCCTAAAAGTTGGGTGGGGTGTGGGGCGGGGCCTCAGGGAATCACCAGGGTGGGGCTACCAGTGTGAGCCAGGTTGCTGGAGTCCCAGATATGGCGACTGTGTGCCACCCCAGGGCAGGGCTCGCCAAAGGAACAAAGGCCTCTGACAGTACATTTTTCCCAGAGAAAGCCCCCACTCCAGCCCTCACTCCAATGCCAAACAGCTCAGTTATTCCCTGTATGACTCTGGTGCCCCTCGAGCTGCCTCCCTCCAAGCTTAGAGGGAGAGAGTCCGATAAGCCCGTGCACGGGCCCTTTAAGAGGAGCTGCCTGGGGCTCCAGCTGCCTCAGCTTCCCTGAGCCTCAGTTCCCGCTGGTTTTTCCAGCCAGAAGTGATGGGGATTCTCTTCCTGGCACTGGAATCCTGAGCGGGGCACCTGGTGTGGGTTGGGGACCCCTCAGTGCTCTGGGAGGACCTTCCCAGCGGAGGTGTCCTCCTGATTTTTATCCGCCACACGTGGGTGTGGGACCAGCCCCTCGGCCTCCACCCCTCCTACCAGTCTGGATGTGGCTGCTGCTTTAATTCCGCAGTTGTAGGACTTCCATTCAGCTTGATTTCAGGCGGTTTTGAATGATGGTTGTTCTGTAGTGTAGTTGTAACTTTGCTGTGGTTGTGGGAGGACATGATACCGCGTTTACCTACCCGCCATCTTGACCGGAAGTCCAGAAAAAAATTTTTAATAAAAAATAAAAATCACTGGTTTTTTTACTTATAAATCATGAGCCAAGAGTTACCCCTGCTCCAAATAAAATCATTGTTTAGACAGATGATGAGGAAGGTTAACTGACAGTCAAGAAAGAATCCCTCCAGGGAGTCCAAAGTAGTGTCTGGCACCATTCCAATAAAATAGAGAAAACAAAACAAAGCAAGACACTTGGATTCTTGTTGGGCACCCACAGCACAATCACTCTCAGATTAGCGGATGTTGTTATGCAAGGGGCAGGCACTTTCACAAAAGAAGAAATGTAGGCTTTGTCTTAGAATGTCTTATCTACCTGGTTTTCCAACTTGCGTCAAACTGAAAATAGAATTTTTTTTTTTAATCCTCACCTGAGGATATTTTTTCATTTATTTTCAGATAGAGTGAAAGGGAAAGAGAGAGAGAAAAAAACATCAATGTGAGAGAGACACATCAATTGGCCGGGACTGAACCAAAACCGAGGTATGCGCCCTTGACCAGAATCCGACCCTTGACTCTTTGGTCTGAGGGCTGGTACTCTAACCACTGAGAAAAACTGGCCAGGGAAAAAATAGAATTTGAAGACACAACTCTAACCTTCTCATTTTGACCTTTCTATCTACACAACTAAAAAAAAAAAATCTTCCACAAATATAAGGTTCTCCTGTATTTCAGTGTTACTGGACTAAGAGGTCCCTTTGCCTGCCCAGATCAGAGCCCAGTCAAACACGAATAGGAGTTTTCAGTCAATAAAGTAAGGGTTTATTAGTTGAGTAAGTTACGTCGTACCTAGAGTCACAGGTGAACTGTTGCTGAAGGACCTGGCTCCCCAATGGCTTCTAGGAATTGGGTTGTATAGGGAACAAGGGAGGAGGGTCGTGCTCTATGCTGATTGGTTGATGCTAAAATAGGGGGCAATTGATCACTGAATCTGGTCCTAATATCAGCCATGGCATCACTTGATCTTGTTTGCAAAGATCTTGTCAGTGGGGTTGTTCCCAAGCTGAAACACACCTGAGACCTAAATGTTATTGCTACTTTGAGTGAAACTCCGTCTCTTGTGTCAAACGGCCTGAGGCTTTGTTCCTAAAATGATCTTATGTCCACCAGAACCTCATTGTCCTGAGGTCTTGATGATTAAGGGAGTGGAAACGCAAGAGAGAAGGAGGCAGGTGAGTCAGGGTGCTGGATGAGGAGAAAAGGTCACATTCAGGAGAAAAGGTCATAGGAAAGAAATAAAGTTTCTGTGTGGTTATGTTACCAGACTGCTCCCACTGGCCCTGCCCCAGCACAGTCTAGGACCTTTCAGGTGTCAGGTGACTTCAATGTCCTTGACTCATCCAGAAAAGATTTCAAGGATGAATAGGAGTGAGAACAAAGCATGTTTTATTCAGGTAGAAAAAAAAAAAAAAGAGGCCAGAGTGCAGGTGCTGCTATAAAAGAAACGGAAAGTACACATCCTATTGGACTCAGGCCAATGTGAAGGTGAAATCTATGGGGTTTCGTCTTTGACCATGAGCTCACAGACACCCTTTAGATACAATGGGACAGAAATGTGGAAGTCGCTTGGGTGCCAGGGGCTTCTGTGTAGAGCCACTGTTATGGGTGGAAGTGGGGTTCTTGGGGTGCCATGAGGAGAAGAATTTCCTGAGGCCCCCAACGGTGGATGGGGTTTCATGGAAAATTTTACTGATGATGTAAAATTAAGGGGGTTTCATCTCTGTCCATCTTGCCATGGCAGACGTTCAATCTTGTCTTCAGCAGGGACAGAGTAAAGGCCAATGCCTAGAATTTCTGTTCCATATTAAAGTACAGTTCAGCCCAGCATCTGGCTAACTTAGCTGTGTTCCCAGCTGCAGTCCACTGTGTGTGAGTTGTGCACGGCCATGGACCATATGGCTGCTTAATGCCATATGACGATGGAGAGAGAACAGGTGGATGCACAGGTGAGGGCGGATCATGGAGAAAGAGAACAGAGAGTAAGGGGGAAACAAGAGTGAGGGAACTCTTTGGAAATTTAACCAGGAGCTTCTTCAAAGTAACCAATTGCCTTTCCAAAATTTTGTGTGCTTCTGATGGGGTCCACCCCCTAGCCAATCTATTGGTCCGCAGGCTAGACTGACAGGCAAGCTCCTCCTCTGTGCCACCCCAGCATCATAATGATTCAAATTGTTACCAGTGGTCGCTTGGGATTGTTAAATTAATTAAATGAGGAGGCCATTTGACTAAAGTGGATCTAAGGCCATCATGAGCAAACACCAATCTAAGCCTCTAAATGCCTCAAGGTTGCCAATCACAAATAGCCAACTCACCTTTAAGCTCTAGCCAATCAGGTAAATTTTTGTCATTGCCTCTGTATTTTTCTCTATATGTCTCTTCCCTGGCGCCTGTGAATAGAGAGCTGGTTAGCACTGCCTGATTTTGGCTTAAATAAACTCTGAATTTTTAATGTGCCTCAGTTTATCTTTTAATAGGATGAATCCAGGTGAAGGGAAAGAAAGACATTGGGAGATCTAGTGGTTTGGGTACTTAGTTATTATGACAACGATAATGATGATAAAGATGGTGAAGTCACCTGGGACCTTTTGGTGCCAGGAAATAGAGAAATGAAATGAAATGCTATTCATAGGCAACTACGAATGCATAGAGAACTAGAAGCTTCCACGACAGCTTTGAGGAGTCTCCCACCTCCTTTACTGGTCACTGCAAGGACCATAGCCAGGACCTGACTGTAAGGATAGCAGAATTGCTAGACCTTTTCACAGAAGCAAGGGAACTGATGGGGAAGGAGTGGGATCCTGAGACATGAGATGGGGACATTTGGGCAGATATGGATGGAGCTGGAGAATTTTTAATATCAGAATTCTTCTACGCCTCTTATCAGGAAGGACCTTTGCCTGCTGTTGAAGGGAACAAACCCATTTCTTCATAAGCTTTTCAATGTTACTTTTAATAAAGCAACTTAGAGAAATACTATATTTATCAATTGCTCATCATAAAAAAATACACATATGCCCAGCTGGTGTGGCTCAGTGGATTGAGCATCGGCCCGTGGACTGAGAGGTCCTGGTTCGATTCCTGGTCAAGGCACATGCCTTGGTTGCGGGCTCAGTCCCCAGTAGGGGGCGTGCAGGAGGTGGCCAATCGATGTTTCTCTCTGACATGGATATTTCTATCCCTCTCTCCCTTCCTCTTTCTCTAAGGAATCAATAAAATATATTTTAAAAAATAATATTCCCTAGTCGGTTTGGCTCAGCGGTTAGAGCGTCAGCCCGCATACCAGAGCGACCAGGGTTCTGTTCCCGCTAAGGGCACGGACCTCAGTTGCAGTTTGTCTCCTGCTCCCAGTTGGGGTCGTGTGGGAGGCAATCAGTCGATGTGTCTGTCTCACATTGATATTTCTCTTTCTCTTTCCCCCCTCTCTCGCTCCCGCTCTACCTGAAGATAAATGCAAAAATGTCCTTGGGTGAGGATAAAAAAAATAATAATACACATGTTCTTACCACTCCCATTTTCTTGGTTAGTATGCTCTGAAATTTTTGTCTTAGTTTATTATAACTGTATACCATTATTTTATGTTGTGTAGCATTTTTTCATTAACGTAACAAATATATATTGGGTCATACCATGTTTTTAGGATATGACAGAAAACAAAGTCTATGATAATCCCATCTTTCATCCATCTTACACTTCTTTCAAATATTATAACACACACTTTCTATTTTATAGTGATTCAGACAAAGTTCAAAGGATAAGTGCTTTAACTGTGCACAGCCCCTCACTTCCCCATTCATTTGTTTTCTGCATGTGATTCTTCTTCCTGTTGTTGGTTTATGTAACTTGGTTTGGGATGAAGAGTATCAGAATAGGCCACCCCACAATGCGCCTCTTTGGCATAAGAATTATTTTGAGCTAATTATTTTTGGAAACTGCAGACACTTGAGAAACTCTGAAAAGAAAGAAGTTATCTTTTTATAAGGGAAATGCACATTCATAAAGGAAATCTCCATTTGTAAATGTTTTCCTCTCTTACCAGGAAGAGAACGTTGACTCTACATTGCAAGAGAATCTTTAATAGAGAAGAAAATCTACATAACAAATCTGACCCTTCTTCATAGTCTCCCATAACTATCCTCCCCCTGCCCCCAACATCTTTTGTCTTTAGCTGAAGATGATATTTAAGGTGCTGTCTTAGGGCCATCTTGGAGAGTTTCTCGGTTTTCCTGGGTATCAGCCATGTGTACATGAGGTGTACATGTTAATAAACTTCTAATGATTTTCCTCTTTCAATCTACCTTTTATTACCGAGGTTCTTAGTAAAGAACTCAAAAGAGCAGAGGGAAAGTTATTTTAAATAAGATATCAGCCTTCCAGCCAGTGTGGCTCAGTGGATGAGCATCGATCCATGCACCATGGGGTCACCGGTTCGATTCCTGGTCAGGACACATGCCCAGGTTGTGGGCCAAATCCCCAGTGGGGAGCATGCAGGAGGTGGCCAATTGATGTTCTCTCCCATCGATGTTTCTATCTCTTTCTCCCTCTCCGTTCCTCTCTCTGTAAAATCAGTAAAGTAAAAAATAAACTGCTTCTCAGCCTTTTGGCTAAGATCAAGTTTAGTATCTGTTCTTATCAGTTTAATAAAGGAAAAAATAAATAAATAATGTATTAATCCTGGCTGGTTTGGCTCAGCAGTTAAAGTTTCTGCCCTGGCCCTGGCCAGTTTGGCTCAGCAGTTAGAGCATCAGCCTGCGGTCCAGAGAGACCCGGGTTCGGTTCCCGCTAAGGGTGCATATCTTGGTTGCAGTTTGTCCCTGGCCCTGGTTGGTCGTGTGGGTGGCAGCCACTCGATGTGTCCCTTTCACGTCGATGTTTCTCTCTCTCTCTCTGTTCTTCTATCTCCCTCCCACTCTATCTGAACAAAAAATGGAAAAATGTCCTCGGGTGAGGATAAAAAATAAAATAAAATAAAATAAATAAAGTGTCTGCCCTGGACCAAAGGGTCTTTGGTTCAAGTCCTGATAAAAGCAAATACCTTGGTTGCAGGTTTGATCCCCAATGGTTGTGAGGATGTTTCTCTCGTTCCCTTTCTCTCTCCCTCCTTCCCTCCTACTCTCTCTAAAGAATCAATGGGAAAATATCCTTGGGTGAGGATTAACAAAATAGTAATAATAATAATGTATTATATAAACTATATAAATAAAGTATTTATATTTATTTTCCTATGGTATGGTTGAATTTTTTGTTTCTTGTGGGGGTATTCCCCCCCCCCCCCGGGGAGAGCACTAACACAGTCCCCCATCCCACGAATTATGCAGTGGAGTTTCCCACGTTTGGGAGAATCACAGGAGCCAGCAGACTCAGCACATCCGAGTGCAACGGATAAGCCCCGCCCTGGAAAACCACCTTCGTGATGATGCCGTCTCCCCTGCCACGCAAGTATCACGGAGAGTTTTTGTTGTTTCGTTAGGAAAGGTTCTGGGAGACACTTCCAGATTATGTGCACGTAAGAAAATGTCCTCCTGTTGCTTTTACAAATAAAAAACTACTGAGCAAGAGAAGGAATCCTTTCTTGAAATTTTTTGTCATCAAAAGTTACTTGAAAAAAAAAATTACTTCAGAAATCGACATCCTGTCTGATGGATTTTCTTTTTAGGTATGTGACTTTCTGCCTGGCTGTATGTAGAATTTTTTCCCTTTGTGTAGGTTTAATTGAGAATATAGAAAAAAATAAATAAATAATGAAGAGATAAAGACAAAATTTCTCAGCCGGTCCAGGCCAGAATTTCTACTCCTCTGTAAACTCCAACTAGGAATAAATTAGCATCCCTGGTAAGATGTTTAAGTAATCCTGATAAATTTTAATGAAATTAAAGGTATCTTCTGAAAAACTATAATATTTATCCTGTCTAAAAGAGAGAACTTCCATCCCTGGCCGGATTGGCTCGGTGGTTGGAGGATCGGCTTGCGGACCAGAGAGTCCCAGGTTTGGTTCCCGCTAAGGGCACATACCAAAAAAATAAATTAAAAAAAAAAAAAAAGAGAGAACTTCCAGCCCAAGAAAGTCTTATAAGAGTTTATTTGAGCCAAACTGATGAAAATTGTCAGGAAGCCAAATCTCAATAGATTAAGAAAATGCTCCATAGAATGGCAGTTTTGCAACTTATTTTATACATTACAATCAAAGGAGAAGTCGGAAAGAGGGTCACATGAAATTCATTGAGTGCCCAGCCGGTCTGGTCAGTGGTTGAGCATCGACCCATGTACCAAGAGGTCACTGGTTTGATTCCCGGTCAGGTCACATGCCCAGGTTGTGGGCCAAATCTCCAGTGGGAGGCATGTAGGAGGCGGCCAATCGATGTTCTCTCTCATCGATGTTTCTATCTCTCTCTCTCCCTCTCCTTTCCTCTCTCTCTAAAAATCAAAGAAAGAAAAAGAAATTTTTTTTAAATTCATCAATGCAACGTTAAGAATGTGGAAGAAAGCTTAAGACTTTAATACAGTGGTTCTCCAACTTCCTGATGCTGCAACCCTTTAATTCAATACAGTTCCACCCTGGCCGGTTTGGCTCAGCAGTTAGAGCGTTGGCCTGCGGTTCAGAGAGACCCGGGTTCAGTTCCCGCTAAGGGCACGTACCTCGGTTGCAGTTTGTCCCTGTCCCTGGTTGGTTGTGCAGGTGGCAGCCACTCGATGTGTCCCTTTCACGTTGATGTTTCTCTCTCTCTCTCTCTCTCTCTCCCTCCCACTCTACCTGAACAAAAAATAGAACAATGTCCTCAGGTGAGGATTAAAAAAATAATAATAATACAATGCAGCTCCTTGTGTTGTGTGTGGGCGCATCTGCACGTGGGCGGACCCGCCTGCAGACGGATGGAGGAGCAGTGTCTCGGTTCCTAAGACCATTGGAAATTCGCGTTTTCCGATGGTCTTAGGCGACGCCTGTGAAAGGGTCGTTTGACCCTCAAAGGGGTCGCAACCCACAGGCTGAGAATGGCTGCTTTAATACCATAACTAGTGGCCCCAAATTGGGATTTTTGCAGCTTGAGCTCTGAAACTGTGTGCAGAGAGCAACTTTGTCCTTTTGGGCTCTGGAACTGCCTGCAGAGCCGGCAGCCCCCTGTGCCGATTGCACTGTTTGATAAGGGGTAGTCCCTGCACCTTGGTTGTCAGGACTTCCACGGCAATATAATTCCCCATGGCCATTTTGCAAGCTGCCCTGCCACAGGAGAACAAAGACCAGGAGAACTGGCTGGACGAGAAATGCCGGACACCAGGAAATCAAACCATATAAGGAACTAAAACTGTCTGATCACATACCTGCATTCCTGCAGATCCAACCCCACTGCCCAAACCCACCAACCCTGACCCCAAAACTCACTGACAACAAAAGTTTCCCACGTGGACCCATATAAGGACAAAACTCCAGCTCCTAGGGGCTGCCATCATGTACCCAATACCCATGGCTGGTGCTGTGTATACCTTCCCTTTGGATAGCCCTGTCCCCCATCCCCTTTTCTCTAACTTTTAAAAAAAATCCTCACCTGAGGATATTAACAGTGGGAGGGAGGGAGTGAGAGAGAGACAGAGAGAGAGAGAGAGAGAGAGAGAGAGAGAGAGAGAGAGAGAGAAACAATGATGTGAGAGAGGCACATCGATCGGTTGCTTCCCACACGACCCCAACCAGGGCCGGGGACCGAACCACAACCGAGGTACATGCCCTTGACTAGAATTGAAACCAAGACTCTTTGGTCCAGGGGCTGATGCTCTAACTGCTGAGCCAAACTGGTCAGGGCTATCCCCTTTTCTTTAAATAAATCCAATTTTTCTTTATCCACTGTCTGGGATTGCTATCTAGCCTTCCCGAGAACCACGAACTTTAAACTTTCAATGGTTAAATAATATTCCCTGTACTATAACTGTGTGTCCAAAAACCGCCTTTTTGTTCTACAGGCCTCGGCTGAAACTAGGACTTGATAAATGTTTAATCATATATTACTCATCATTCTCACCTCACAATGCCACATGCTTGATCACTGAGTCAGCCAACCATTGAAAGTCCAGTTGCCTCCACCAATCATAAAACAAATAATGTAAGTTTATGTTTTTGTTTGCCCTAGCAAGCCATCTCTTTTGATCAATAGCTCCTTGCAACTTTTGTTTTAATAACCCCTGCCCTCTCCCCTCTAATTTGGAACATACTCTCAATTCATGTGACGGACTATGTTTCCTGATTTGCAAATCATTACCTGAACAAACTCTCTTTAAAATTTCTTTAAAGGGTAACTTCAGAGGCCTGGCAGGGTAGCTCAGTTGGTTAGGTACCATCCCATGACTGACGGTTGCTGGTTGAATTCCCTATCAGGGCTCATGCCCCGGTTGTGGGCACGATTCCTGGTAGAGGTCGTGCAGGAGGCAGCCAATCAATGTTTCACTCCCACATTGATGTTTCTCTCTCTGTCCCTTTCCCTCTCCCTTCCTCCTCCTCTGAAAAAATAAAATAAATAAGTAAAAATAAAAGAATCAACCAATGAGTATATAAATAAGTGGAATAACAAACTGATGTTTCATTCTTTCTCTCTCTTCCTTCCTTCCTTCCTTCCTCTCTCTCTCTTTAAAATGAATAAATAAAAGAAATAGAAAGGTATCTCCAGATTTTTGTTTATAGAGCAAAGCAGGGAGATCTCTATGATAAAAGAAAAAGCAAAATGTAGAGCCACAGACTTCTTTTCATTGGAGGGTGCAAGATAGTTAATAATTAGCATGTTCCGCACATGGAGATGGTATGTGGGCAACAAGATAACAATGTGGCCTTGTGCTCTGGTGCTGGTGGTTGAGCCTTCGAGGGGTCTGGAAAAGAAAATTACTCTGACATTTCAAAGGTCTTATCTTTGATGCACAAAGACAACAGACAATTTCAGAGGTAAACACTGACCTTTGTCTAGGCTTAGGATGGGCTACCCACGGCTGCTTCCAGTTAGGAATTACTGCATTCACACCATCCTGGGTGGGTATTTTTCATCTCCGGGTTTGTAAGGCCTGCCATGTGGGCCTCCTGAGCTTGTCCAGTTTAGTAGGTGGTTGCTTTTTTTTTTGGTCCACAATCCAATCTATGGACTATCAATGAATATTGTGATGATCTTTATCTAGACATTCTTTTGTCCTCTCTCCTATCTATCTAACGATGATTAAATGATTTTTACCGCTGAGCCATTATTTTTTTATCCTCAACCGAGGACACTTTTCCATTTTTTGTTTAGATAGAGCGGGAGGGAGAGAGAGGAAGAGAGAGAGAGAGAGAAACATCGACGTGAAGGGACACATCGAGTGGCTGCCACCCGCATGACCAACCAGGGCCTGGGACAAACTGCAACCGAGGTACATGCCCTTAGCGGGAACTGAACCCGGGTCTCTCTGTACCGCAGGCCGATGCTCTAACCACTGAGCAAAACCGGCCAGGGCTAAATGATTTTTAAACTATTCTCTTTTTCTGATTGAATCTCACTACCAAAGATAAATCTTTGGTATATTTAGATATTCATAACTGGATTACCAGAAAATATTAACAAAAACAACGGTCAAAAGTGAGGAGCAAATAAAGATAAAACAAATTTTAACTTGTTGAAATTTTTAAAAATTTTAAAATAATAAGATTGATAAATTCAAAATCTTATAATTTAGAGAAAAAGAAAAAATTTAAAAAAAACTAATTTTAAATAAAATTTAAAAAGAACTCCTTCACAAGTTCTATAGCAAAAGCCTCCAGTGTGCTTTGAAATACATTTTTTTCCATTGATTTTAGAGAGATAGAAGAGAGAGAAAGAGAGAGAGAAACATCAATTTGTTGTTCCACTTATTTATGCATTCATTGGTTGTTTCTTGTATGTGCTCTGACTGGGGATCGAACCCAAAACCTTGGCGTATCAGGATGACTCTCTAACCAACTGAGCTGCCCGGCTCCAGTGTGCTCTTTTACCAAAAATTTCAGTACCAAAAATGTATCCTAAATAAAATAACCAGAGATGTCAAAAAGATTGATGTACAAGAATATGTGTTTCAATACTATTTATAACCTCACATCTGTCAGCATGGCTGTCATCAATAAATCAACAAACAAGTGTTGGGGAGGATGTGGAGAAAAGGGAACCCTCATGCACAGTTGGTGGAAATGCAGACTGGTGCAGCCACTGTGGAAAACAGTATGGAGTGTCCTCAAAAAATTAAAAATGGAACAGCCTTATGACCCAGTGATTCTACTCCTGAGAATATATTTGAAGAAACGTGAAACAATATTTTAAAAGAATATATACCCCTCTATGTACACTGCAGTGCTGTTTACAATAGTCAAGTTTTGGAAGCAGCTCAAGTGCCCATCACAAGATGAGTGGATAAAAAAGCCATGGTACACAAAGATCAAAAGAAAGTCAAAAGTACAAGGTCAAAAGG